GTGTGTGTGTATGTGTGTGTATGTGTGTGTATATGTGTGTGTGTGTGTGTGTATGTGTGTGTATATGTGTGTGTGTATGTGTGCGTGTGTGTGTGTATATATGTATGTACTTTGGATGTGAGAATGTCCATTAATTCCGTTGGAATCCTTGTACACTGACGTCGAGATTAAAATAGGAAGTGGTCATTACATCTGCACAACAGAAGGGTGTGGAGTTGAAATTCGATAAATAACCTATATACATCTATAACGAGGTATTATGTCGTCACTGCGCTTGTGATTGCAGTGCACTTTTGATGAAACAGCTTATAATCAGCCCTTCTATACCTTGCAAGTTACAGAAAGACGTAAAAGTACCAATGCTCGGTTAAAATCGAGAATTGTATGAATACTTACAGACTGAACAATCCGACTGTTTATCGCTCCCACAATTCATACTTCTGAAGTCTACAGGTGTTCTAGTTTTCTTGCTACAGCTGTTCTAGTTTTCTTGTTACAGCTGTTTTCTTGCTACATGTGTTCTAGTTCTCTTGCTACAGGTCAGTTTGAGAAAATTTTAAAGCTTTGACATTTTCTTGCACACACGGCCTTATCAGTCAAGCACACTAAGTTCACAGTTCACATTCTTACCTTATTATATGTCCGAGTGAATATTGGATAGACTTCGGTAAGGATTGGGCAGCTCCTTCGGGCTCATCTTTCTCACGCACATCTATCAAAATGTAGTCGTCCTGATTAGCTTGGACTACACTCGGTAGGATTGTGAACGTACCGCTACTGTCTCCGCCTCCACTGTTGTTATCACTGCCGCTAGAAGCACCAATACTCTTGAGCATGTCGCCAGTCTTGGATGTCGAACACATAGTTGCTATCAAGTTAATAAATGTTACCTAACGTAAATCTACTGTGTACATATAAATTTACCCCATACAGTGAATATAAAATATACGTGATCCTACAGACGTATGTATACACACAAGAAGTGAACCTTCTCCTGATATTCGAAATGATATATGTAGAAAAAAAAATATGTTGATTGACACATAGCCTTTTTGATAGGCTATTGACATCGGATTGTTGTCTTTGGAATTTCTCGAGTGACACGGTGTCCCAATTGACACGGTGTCCTAAATCCTAATCGACATGGTCCCAGGAGCAGGACTCCCCACTCCCCATTCTCCAATCCCCAGATTCCCCACTATCCAACCCCCCAATCCCCACTGTCCTCAGTCCCCGCTTGGCACTCCGGGTGAGCGCCAATCCACCCTCCTCTTGAGTCCTGAGGACTGACTCCTGAGGACTGATGAGTGCCGCTGCCGAGTGCCGAGTCTTGAACTTCCCCCCAGTCCCCCCCCCCAGTTCCGCGAGCATATTCTTATATTTTCTTAAAACAAATAGTCTTCACTCTTCAGTGGCTACCCAAGACGTTTCCGTTTTTTTGGTTTTTTTTTCTAAACATAAACACACTTTTTCAACGCGATTCCGTTCAATTTTTATTCTGTATGTAAATACGACTGTCGTATATAAAACCTTATTGGTCTATAGAGGGCTATATGTGCGCGTATAGCGAGTCTGGACGAGTATTTCGGGTACCTCATATTCTAATCAGTATCTTTTGTACCAGTGAGAATATGAGGTACCCGAAATACACGTCTAGACTCGCTATACGCGCACATATAACCTCCATAGACCAATAAAGTAGTATGCTATAATGCCAGAAAGGTCTGTTAAGTATGGATGGACGTGTACAACGCATACGAGTGGCTAGTTAGACCCAGTTCTGGCACAAACTGAAATCCTTCATATCTTTAGAACCAATGGTCCTATCGGGATGAGATTCAGCATACGTTTATTATTCGTCAAAACAAAGAAGTTATGCTATCTGAGTGCCAATGAGATTGAATTTTATGGTACCTCTGAATCAACCTATATCCCCTTCTCTGTCCAATATTTTATGTGGTCTGGGCCTATTTAGTCTTTGTACATACATAAAACCACACTCAAAACGAACACTCGTGACCCCGCCGAGGTTCGATTACGGGTGTAAATATGACTGTGTTCAGTGTTACGATGTGCCTGACTGCCTGTGGCCCTGTGGCCTGTGCCCTGTGGGCCGTGGCTCGTTTAGTCTTTTATGCCCTTATCTGCCAGTGCCCTGTCCCTAGTTGCTTGTTGCCTAACCTACTTTGACTGTCAAAGATTCACAATCACAGCCTCACACTCACAGTCTCACACTCACAGCCTCACAGATCACTTGGTCCCCACTGGCTCCCACACCACTGGCCCTGGGCCCTGGGCCCTGGGGCCCTCTCTGGGCTCCTGAGTTCTCACTCCTCTATTACGGCATTACCTCTATTGTAAATAGTGATAACTGATATCAAATATCAGTTTAAAATATCACTCGTTTTATAACAAAAAAAAATCAGTGAAACAAGTCACAAAAATTAAAATCACAACCTGTGAAATAGAGAGACTTGAGTGAGTCACATTGAGATTTGAGACGCTGAGACAGAGAGTGACTGAGTGACTATGAGTCGTGAGAGACTTCAGCCACAGAGAGAGAGAGGACTGAAGAACCACGAGGCGGTGGGGGACTGGAGGTCTGTGGGCCCGACTGGGCCGTGGGGCTCTAATTGAGTAGTACACATCGAGAGTATTTTTAACTGGCTGGTAGAGCGAAAAAAATGCTTTAGTCCACGTAGCAGTATTTAGGAGTATGTTCGACCCTACGCAAGAACTGGTTTTTCTGTACTCTCCTTTGTGATTTTTTGATGTGTAGTTGTGTATGTCTCCTGCATGGTCAATAACAAAACAAAAAGGAATATTGTTTGCTGAGGAGCACTTTTCTGGCTTTTTTTCCCCTCTGGGATATTAAACTCAGAGTTTGAACAGCAATTAGCCTAATTTGGTAGCTATGCGTCGTTTGCCGTCGTTGACGAATAATAGGGAACTCTCTTTATCGGGATCCTGCTATACCCCTGTCACCTGTGGCCTGTGGATTCATATATATATACTCACATTGGCTGGCGATCCGACACAAGTTACAACTACTGCGCATAAAGTCATGGTATACTCAGGTATGCTATTACAAATATGCCTTGATTCAAACTCTATTGGTCCACCATTGCAACCATAAGTGAGGTTTATTGTAAACACTATATTCTGCACACTCTTGGAGACGCATATACACATCCGCTAAACGCAAAAAAAAAGCAATATATATTATTTGTAAATAGTACTACGATGGAATGTCGGATTCATTGTGGTTCTAAACGTCTGCTAACCTATATATATATATATATATATATATATATATATATATATATATATATATATATATATATATATATATATATATATATATATATATATATATATATATATATATATA